GAAGCCTGACCCTTTAATTAGTTATCATCTGTAACTGCTCTGGGCACATGCTCATATCACCAAAGGAAATGATGACAATAAACAAATAATCTGATTTTTGGTTCTCTTACGAGCCATTTGGAAGGACAGCCATTTAGTCCTTCTTTAAGACCTTCAACTCAAAGTCACCACCAATCTCAAAAACAGGCATTCACATTCGTACGCCAACGTTCATTGCTTCTGAGTAACATAATACTATCAACATCTGCTTTGTCTGAAACTAGGTTTCTTTTTCTGATCATACTTAAAGAATAATAATAAATTTTAAACAGGTTTTGTTTTCTTAAATGAGAGCAGCAGCAGCATTTAAAAGTAGTCTATATATGCTCTTAGAGGAACTTCATACAGCCCATTTCTTAATGGAAATCAGATTGTAAACTGGAAGCCTTTTATAAAGAAATTATACATTTAACAATCATCAGTCCTACCTTAACATGGACCACCCAAAAGTTTTCAAACCACAGAATGTGAATAACTGCCTTCTTCTGCTGCTTTCATTATTTTACTTACCAACTACATACAACTCTGACAGGTGTTGCTTTCTAAACTAAGGAAAAAGGACTTGAGTGTAGGTGATTTCAAGAGTAATCAGTAACAGCACTGCAAGACAGGCACCTGGTCCGCAACACCGGAACGGATGGAAAGAAGCCTCGCCCTGCAAATTCAGCAGTGAGAACACATACAAGAATGAAACCATTGAAAACACAAAAGCAAAAAGTTAGCAATAGGCAGCATAAGACATAGTAAATAAAAGATCTGTCCCAGTTCAGGTGCAACAAGTGCTCTGAGGCACGTTGCTTTATCACTGCCATCAAGTGACAGCAGGTTTCTGAGGGTTTACACAGTGACAGCACGCGACACCTATTCTGAAAGGGACAGTGTAGAGTAAGGGCAGCAGCCTGGGGCAAGGTGGAGTGTAGCAATTGCTGAAGAATATTACCAGTCACCTCAACTGCAGATGGGGAAAACTGTGCCTTGCCACTGGTCAGTTTATCGGAGCTTAAAATATGTCCTATCATGGGAAAAATTCATCCGAGTCTCTTGAGAGGAACCAGTGAAGCTGAACGTGAAATAATGAGAAGCAGACAGAGGAAAAAAACTCTTATCAATGAAGTGACCTCAACTTATGCATGGTTTTCTACTTATCTTCTTTTAACAAATGAATCTGACCTGTTTTCACAAAAAACTCTATATACAAGGACCAGCATTACCCCTTCATTATCATCACACAAGCAGATTTTTCTTGTTCTGATTTGCATTCGTGTTTTCTTTACATACATATGTGTGTGTGTGTATAAAATATAAATTCCTATTTCTCTCTGCTGGTGTATCTTTTATTTCCCCCTTTCTTTACTGTGCCACATGCAGCAGGGTCAAACGCCTATGGCACACATGCCAGAAAGACAACTGAGGCAGATTTTGATTGCCATACAGTACAGATTTACATATCTGTCAGAAATGAGGCAGCTGCCAAATCACAACTCCTACACTCTGAAACTGCATGCAAGACCCACTATTGTGCTCTAGTCAAAATTTCTGAGAGGCTCATGGTATCACCAAGCTGGAACTCAGCAGGAGAATCAAGACACAGCAAGACAGTGCTTGTCAGTAAGCAAGTGCTGGTGAGAGCAGAAGCATTTCTTTCTCCCTTCCCTCCTGGGTCTCCAAACTCGGCTAGAGATAGGCAGTGTACCAACGCATGCATGCTCTGATATGGGAAAGGAAACAGCTCACTAGATCATTCCTGACAGACTGCTGACCTCTAGTGCAGAGGACTAGAGGACATGCCTTCTGGAAAAAATAAGCATGGCACTGATTTTTCTAAATAAGACAGATTTTATTTTGCTTTCTGTGCTGAACTGAAACACTAAAACAAGGCCCAAATTACCCTCTCCTACAGAGCACACTGAACAAAACACTCCTCTGACTGGAAAATACTGCCGTAGATTTCAGAGCTCTGCGTACAGAGGAATACACACACACACACACACACACACACACACACACACACACACAGCGTAACACGCGTACCAGATCTGTTAAGTGATGTCAGCAATAGTTGGCCAATCCAACATTTGACTTCTGCATATACTAGCATAGAACAACAAATGTGTCTATATCACAGTCTCTAAAATAAACCTAAATGTCGAGAGTGCTATCATTCAGTTCATCACAAGGAACACTGTTCTAGCCTGCCAGCAATGCCATTCTCCTCTGCCACCAGCAAGCACAGTTTTACCAGGAGTTAACCAGCAACACCACGGTAATTTTAAAGCTTCCGTTTTTAACACATTTATCTCTGGTTCCCAGAAAAGGCAGTCATGAATTAGGTATCACATGTTCAATACCAGTAATTCCAGCCATCGGGTTCACCTGTCAAGCCATGATAGTAAAATGACAGTTTTCAAGATCTGTTCCTCAAGTTAAGCCTCTGAAATTTTATTCAGAAAAATACTCCTTTAGCTCTCATATAACCGAAGAAATAAATATGACAAAGATGCTTTTGAAGCCAAGTCTCATTCAAGAAAGCCAGCTGGTATTCCTCTCCTTACTGGTAAGTACTGGCTGACTACATTCATTACTACAGTACTCTACCGCATTTTGCTGGAGTTACACAGTTTCGCCATATTACTTTGATATTTCTCTGCTGAAGGGAGCAAGCTGTACCAGGGCAGTTGTATGAGGAGGTAAGCAGGCAGCGGGTCGAGTTCGCAGATGTTACTACCACCTCCTACTTCCTGTATGTCAGCACGCTTTATTCTCAAGACTGCAAGTGCAGAACACTGCCACCTGTAACCACCTCACAGCATCTGACAGAAACATGCTCAGGAATGCTCTTGCTCACAGGATATACTGCTAAAATGGTCAGGGCTCCCACAGAAACAGCCAGCTGCCGGAAGTGAGCCTCAACAAGAGAGAAACGCTAATGAAGGAAAAACGGACTCTGTGTAACCATGTATGTAAACCGAACGAGTCAAAATGAATGCTGTGCATTTGATGGCCAGAATAAATAATTGGGGGTTGGGGGAGAAGTGCACGTTGTTGGTTTATTGGGATGGTAGCATTCAAACAATGCAGTTCTCCTTCTTCATATAGGAGAAGCAAGGCAACTATCATTAATACCCACATATTCTAAAGTTTAACATGCATATTATTACTCACACACATAAGGTAACACTACAACAAAGCTTTTAGTAGGATTCTGAGAATAATATATACATCTCTCTCATAGCTTAATTCACACTACCAACACACCAAAACAAAACTGAAAGAAGTGCTGTCCAGAGACATAAATATCAGATTTTAAAAAAAATCATTATATTCCAAAATCATCAGTATTCATTAACAAAAAAAAACAGCTGACAAGCTTTTCTGGAGTGCCCAGTATCAACTCATCCTAAAAATGGGCCTTAGCTTTGATCTGGCATAGACTCTCTCCTGTTCATTTCTTTTCATGAGTCCTTTCATGCAGTGTATGCCAAATGACGCGATCACCAGTAGTTATGTACAGTCAGACTACAGAAGAAATGGTGTGATTTCAGAACTGAAGTGATTTGTGTCAGAAAAAAAATATCTGAGTTTGCATAAATGCTTCAGTTCACAATAGCATTTAATGTTCTAATCCATAACAGTATCATGTATCACATTAAATACTGCATGCATCTTCTGCAGCACACATCACTGATGTATTTCTATCGCGAAAAGGCCAAGCGTAGCAAGGTATTTTTGAGGCATGAGGTCCTAGCGTCAAGACAAGCCTTGCATTTTAGAAGTTTTCCACTCCCTCCTCCGCTGTGAAACAAACATCTTCCCCACTTTTGGAAAGCAGGAGCAAAATAATGGAGGCGGTTTTGATGCAACATACAGCTGTCAGATGCCCTGTGAATGGTTTCTAAGGAAAATATAACCCAACTACAACGTCAAAAAGTGACACTATCCAAACGTCCCTCTTTATTGGTAAAGGAAAAAGAAGCCCCGAGGATGCTTTTGAACTTTACAAACATAGCAGGCAGGTCAAAATAAGAGGAAAAGTATCAAAAATATATGACAATGTTCTGAAAGGAGACTTTTACTAACAACATCTACTCCAGAACCTCAGTATGGACAGATTATTCATTCTCTAGATCCAACACTGTGTGAGCAACATAAAGTTATCTTCGTTCGTCTCTGCCATGATGACCACTTCCGAGACAGCAGTTTTTCTGAGTGCATAACCACCCCTGCAGTGGCAAGAACTGGAGAGGCCCGAAGAGTGAGTTTCCCCTCTCGTGACACTGCAGAGCTTTTGCTGCTACAGCACAGTGGTTCTCAATGTTTCAGTCACAGCCGTAAGCGTCTGGAACAGCCATGCAGACAACTGCCTATGGTGTTTGCTGAGCGCACTGAGGACATTAGGAACCACAACAGGAAGAGATTCTCAACAGGATTCTCCTCTCAAGTTGCAAGGAGACTCGTTCCCTGCCAGGTAAAAATGTTTTTAACATTCTTTTTAAAATAAACAACAAAACAAGAAACACTCAACTTTGTGGAGTTTTGTTTGGGTTTGTTTTGGTATTTTTTGAACTAAAAGCCAGAAAATTAAGGCATACAGAGAACAGAAACTGCTGAAAAAACCAAGCAAAGAATTAGAGTTTATTAAAAAAACCCAAAACCCAACAAAACAAACAAAACCAAACACCTGCATGACAAGCTGATGTGCTTATTATCATCACAGCAAGTAAATAGAAAGTTAAATGTCAAGCGTTACTACAGATATAGGTCAGCACATTCTATTGTCAATGCCATCCAGCAGGTACCCGTGGCAGGAGGTGAAGTCACCTAATCACAACTTCAGTTGCTTAAAAGAAGACAAACTGGTTCACACTTTTGCCGCTTTCCCACTGAATAAAACTGCTGCTCAGCAGAATACATTAAAAAACAAAAAGAGCAAAAAGAAAGAAAGAAAAGCAGCGGCCACTCACCATCGTGATGAGCACTCTGTACTTATCCAGCATCGCCTGGTTGTCGTGGCACCCTGCCAGCAACTGCCAGACCTCTGCCCTCAGCGCCTCTGGAACCCCGCTCTTCACCAGAGTGGATAACCCGTTGGGCCTCACAACAAGGTTGTTGTGCCTGAGGAACAGACAATCATCGGCATATTATAATTCAGCTACAAGAGGAGAAATCAAGGTAAAAAAAACAGAAAAAGTTTTTCAACTTTCCCCATGTTGTTCTGAAAAGTGGAGTCAGAAACTTGCAACCTAAACTTCTCTTCCACTGGTTACGCTAAATAGTATTTGTCAGATGGAAAGCAAAAATTCTGCAGGGATTTACAATAGGAACCAGTGGCAAAACGCAGCGTTATCCAAATTCTCTAGGTTTGGAGAAATTAAGGAAAATTAGAACAATAAACAGTTGCAGAAATTGAACTAAACTTGCTAATGAAGAACAATTTGAAGTGAAAGAGAAAACTCTGCCATCTGTGCAGAAAATTCAATTTAAATATTTGTCCAACGTATATGTTTAGCTTAGGTTGAGAAAAGGAAATTAAAAAGAACCTAAGCAGTATAGAGAAATTAACTTTGGAAAACAAATAAAAGCCAGTTTTAAAAGTACTAACATGAAGACTGAAGTTCCAGTTCCCGCTTCATGCCAAGAGCATTCTGCAAGGCCCACAAAGCAGCAAAGCCTGCACATACCTTGGTGGGTAAAGTCCCACCATTCCAAATAAAACTGCCTATTAGTTTGAGCCGGTATTTTACTATCTATGTGTACACACGGCAAGAAACGTAGGAAGACAATTGCACGATGACTGTTTTTATTTTCCAGCACTGCATAATTAATCCTACAAAAGTTGGTATCTAGACCTCTGTACAGGCTGCATTCAGAGGGGTTCAATACTACAGAGGTGTTTCTCAAAAATAAGCCAGTCACTGAGCCCATGCATTTAGCATAAAATCACTGCACGTGCACAACGAGGCAGAGCTTTCAGGCACAGACGTTTAAAAATCCTTTTTGAGACAGTAGAGTTTACTGATCTAGACTAAAATTCTCTTTGATTTATTATGGCAAATTTCACAGCCATGTAGCAGGAGGACTGCAGGAACTGATTCTTTATTCTTTCCAACGCAGGAAGCGCTTGGCCAGGTTCCTGTTCTGACCATTGTTGTGTTTTTCAACTCTGCTGGTAAGGGAACAGTGAGAGGGGCAGTTTAGCCAAGTGCTAGCAAGCTGCAATTAAATTCAGTAACCTGCAATTTGACCCTCGATTTGAGGTGAACACTTGGATTACTCATTCTTTGAAACAGGTCATTAAGATGTGAACAGTTTACCACTGCTGTTTAAATTTAAAAGGTTTTCCAAATACATTTCTTTCTCCTTGTACTCAGAGGATGCTATCCCCATCTTTCCAAATCACTTGAGAATCAACAAAAGATGATGTAATTATAGAGCGTCCTTATCCTTTTAAACAGAATAACTATTTCAAATTTTAGATGCATAATGCAACAAAAGCAATTTCAAGGTTTATTATTTAGTTAGCCAAATTAAAACCCAACTAGTTCCTTTTCTCTTTTTCAATACGTTTTGCAGCAAGTCATGTTAGACTAACGGTCTTGTGATGAGAAAAAGCTAGAAAGAAAAACCAGCACCCACAGAAATCCTGAAAGGACTAGAAACACTAAGTAGTTACAGAACTATGAAATGTACATTCAGGAACAAACAAATAAAATACCTTTGTGAAAATGAAGCATTCATAGCACACTTTAAAACAAGTCAGGTTATTACATGGATTTGGTCATGTGTATTAGAACTGAAACACCAAGGCCTTCTCTGAGGACTCAGCAAGCAGATAAAAGAAAACAAACATGTAAAGAGGTGCATCCTATGTAAACATAACAATACATTTTTCAGCAAGACAAAAACCAACACAAATAGTTTATGGCAACAGCTAACAGAGATGCACGCTCCATGCTGCAATACCAGCCTTCCTGCTAAACAGCCACAGCTGAGAATTAAACACGCTGCAGCACACCAGGTGTTACTGGAGTGGTCGTGTATTCAGATGGTTTCACAGCACAGGTAATACTCCAGCAACATTAGTCCATGCAGTGAAGCGTAACTCTAATAGACAACTTCTCAGTTTCTGACAGTCTGTTTGGAAAACAGCTTGATCACTGATAATCCTCGCTCTGTATTCTGCAATAATGAATAAACAGGCATTTTCCCTCCGTTGTGTAGAGGCCCAGGCACCTTTCATTCCTAGACACTTTCTGACACCTGCCTGGCCAGACTATAACAGAAACAAGCATAAAATAAAAGCTTGTCCTCTTCTAGTCTTATCCTTTAGTATATGGAAAAAAAGGGTCATTCACAGATGCTGATCTTTAACTTGTTACAAAGCACTGTAATTCTCTTGTGCAAAATACAAAGACACAATCTTTAAACATCAAAGCATACAGCAACGCACAGACAGCGCTCCAGCTTGACACACCAGTGTTTCTGATCAAGGACTGCTATTGACCATTACCTTTTAAAAAAGGAGATAACAGCCCAACACACCAGATATAGTTTAGTACGCAGCTAAATTAGCTCAGCTTGCAAGAGCAACTTTAATGCTGAGGATGCAGTAAACAGTAAAATGAAGTAAAAGATATTCCATTACTTTCCAACTATTTATTGTATCTTTTTGGTAAATTATCTCATTTTTATTCCTGTTTATATGTTTGTAGGAGATGCTTGGAGCAATGAAATGACTCAGCAGAAGTGTTAGGTTGCAGTGGCATTGTAATGAAAGGACAAGAAGCAATTAAAGTGTAAGAAATGTTTCATCTACGAGACAAATCAGTACACCGGTTCTCCAAGTGAAATGATGATTTTTATTTATTTACTGTTTTAACAAGTGCACAAATATTCCAGCAGCATATGCTGCAGCTTTCAACACACTAGAAGATTTTATTTCAATCTATTTTTAGTTTGCAAATTGACAAATTGTTAACATTTTTCATCTGTTACTCTTTCCAAGTTTTGTTCTTAAAATGCAACAAAACACTATTCAAGGATTTTAAACACTTGAATTTATCTCAAAAGGTAATATTGCTTGAGACACTCCTAAAGAAAATGTTTGCTACTGCTACTTATCAAGCTGGCTGGGATCTCCCATTTCTCATCCCATTTTTAACTCATTACAACTAATGTGTTTTAACTACTAGATGATTCTCTGAGCTAACTGTGTATGTTAGGTTAGGACTTCAAAGCAGTTTACTTCAACAGTCTTAAATGCTTTGTCTCATTTAATAGCGTAATTGAGTAACTTGAACAAACAGTTGGTTCCATGAATCTTCAGAGAATGAGCTGTGGGCAGCTCTTCACTCCAGCGTGCTTATCCACAGGAGGCCAGGCATGTCAAGGGCAAAAGTTAAAACTAAAAGAATCAACTGACAGTTGAATTTAAAAAAAAATAAAAATTAAAAAGTTATTTTAAAAAAAAAAAAAGGGAGAAAATAATTTTTTATGCATCTCTCAATGCAAATACAATGCAGACTGAAACAAAGCTGCCACACAGGACTTTGAGGACTCAGGATGGCTTTCTTCATTGCCCTTGGGGTGCTACGTGTAACGCTGCAAACAGTTTACAGTCCCTCTCTCTGGGGATGGCCTTCAGAAGAGGTTTCCGAAAGTTCTAAACAGTCCCAGAGTGGCTCTGTTTGCAGACTTTTTAGGTGAGGAAGACATACTTTTCTATAGGGATCAACTGGCTTCCACACTTTCCTCCAGCATTTGTTTAATCATTTGGACGGTCCATAGCCAGCGTACTTATACAGTCATTCCATTAAGTATTTTTGTTACCCAAAAAGAGCTTTCATTAATGCCAGAAACTTGGATGACAAGAGAGTCAAAAACGAGCAGGGGAGAAGGGTTCTGGAGGGAAGGGTTCTGTTGAGCCCCAGGAAATCTTGTGATGTCTTATTTAGGTAACCTTTGCACGAGATCTCCATTAAAGATGAGGTCAGCAGCAAGAGGCTGTGTTTTTCCAAAGCTACGAAGTGGCCAAGTAAAGGGGAGAACTGTCTGAATAAACCCTTAACATGTTTTACAACTCTCTCTTTGGTGTCGGGAAGAGGAAACTTTGCCAATTCCAGATTAAGAGCCTCTGATTATTTTTGTCTCAGGCAGCAGGAACTATTACTTACGAACAGAAAACCAAGCAAGTGGTTCTGGCATTTGCTAATAGTAAAAGGTGTCTCAGAGGCAGCAAATTCACAGACTTTTTCCTCTCTTGACAAAGTACACACTGCTACCGAAGCACTTAATTAAACCACAGAAATAACACTGCTGAGAACGTACTCTAGGCTTACAAATATTCTTCATTTTACTCTCCAACAGAAACAGTTTCAGTGAGGACCACAGCCTTTCTAGAATTCAAGTGCTTATATATAGCACATTAAAAAATAAAAAAAGGAGAGTGTTTCTAAACAAACAAATCTATTAAATGTACGTCAGCTAGCACAAATGGCTTAGACAGGACAGACTGGAGTTGCTCTGTCTCTTCTATCCTAGCACTGAGAGGCACGGAGTTTCACATGAGCTTAGCAGCCAGCCCCAAGGGACACAGGTGGCCAGGATGTTCTGCATTTGAAAACTCACACCTGCAGTGTGAGCATTCACAGGCACATTCTCAAACACTGAATGAAACAAGACTTTTGCAGACACTGTGGGAGAGGTTTGTCAAATAGCTGCGAGTTGAAATAAAAGGATTTACCAATCCCTTTTAAACTAGGTTTAAAGAACAGACTTCAGTGTGTTTTGTATTTCAGTTTTTAAACTGTGTAAGCTGAAGAATTTCGAGCCTCCTGCACAAGAGCATGTAATTTCACAAAACAAAGAACAGGTTAGTAGTTAAAATCCGAATTTAAGAAATGAAGCATTACCATCTTCCCAGTAATTCTCCCCAGGAATACAAAATCTTCTCAGGACAATCCTTTGACACATCACCAGTGCCACTGGAGAGCTCATTATCACTCTCTGCAAAAACAAACAAAAAAAAAGACAAAACAAGAAAACAACCATGCACAGATTTACCGAAGAGCACAGACATTAAAGATGCATACATAAAGGTCTCAGACAAACTCTTCTCACATATCAGTTTTAAAACCACAAAAAGACGTAGAAAATATTAGTGGAACCATAAAGAACGTTTAGCAGAGTTGACAAACAAGTGTATTAATAAAGTCACCATGAAGTTTAAGAGAACAAGACTGGGGAATAATTCACAGCACTGTTACAGGAAAAGGGGCTGGGATCTAGAAAAGCATTATGTGAGAAGACTCAAGGCTGCTAACTATCCATTTCATGGAATTTCACAATGCAGTATTGTCTAAAAGTCACATACACTCTAAGAGAACTCTTTTAAAGCATAGTAGATAACACTACTCCATTACACTGCATCCCTTCTGTGCCATTCTGCTCTCACGTCGTACTCTGACCTCAAGAAGCCTACTCAGAACCATAAAATATTGGGTTTTTTATTCCATCTTCCATCTTCATGGAAGAGCAACAAAAACAACAGTGACTTTGAAGGTCATACTGCATGGAACAGAAAAAATGCTTCAAATGGAAAAGAAACCTAAGTGTTGAGAATAAAACACTTACAGGGGAATGCAACTGATACACAAAACTAGAAGAGAGAACGTGAGCCTGGGATGGCGAGCTCAAATCACCATCCAATCCAAGTAACCCTCCAACTGCCAAGTGTCTTAGGGGTCTATGCAGCTGTGCACAGCAAGCTGAACAGTCTGCCTCTTTAGAGCAGCTCCAAAAACATGGGTTTGCAGTTGTTTGGACTTTTTCCAGCTTTATCTGAATAAAGTATTGCTGAAAATTAAACATGAGTACAGTTTCAACAACACAAATGTTGACAGGGCTCCAATTCTCAGCATCTTTACTATGAAACAAACTAATACAGATCCTGCAACAGCCCAATCATCCTCAGAGGCCTCTGACACTACGGACAGCTTAGATGTGAGAGGGTTATTCGTCCCTATGAACTGAGCTGTCTCAGGAAGCTAAAATGAAACAAAATAGCAGGACTAAACCTGCCTCCAAAATCCCTTAGACACGCTCGTCAGCACAGCTCAGTCACAACTGGTAACTGACCTCGTGTCTTTAAGGTACGGCAAACGTTTCACCTCCACTCGCAGAAGGAGCTCAGGTAGAGGAGGATCTGCAGTACTTGTACAACTATCCTCACATATTCATCCTTGTCAGTGCCACTTCAATTACACATTTCTAATTTATAGTCTCCGCAATTGTCAAACATAACTCATTAATAAAAATATCATCAGCGCTTGAATTTGACAACGAACTGTGAGGCAAAGATGGCATATACTGTCTTTCAGGGACAATTAACAGCAAAAATGTGCCCTGAGAGAAGAGAGAAGCACATCAGAAATCTCCTCGTATTTCAAATTGAGCACTAAATTAGTGAAACCTTTTAGTGTGAAACCTGTTTGTACAGCTGTACAGGCCCCAAAATACAAAACCTTCCTTCCCCTTACAGTTAAAAAGCAAACAAACAAAACCCCACAACAACAAAAACAAAAACTCACTGGCACTCATTATAAATCCACAGGAAACGATTTTAAGGTTTCCCAATCTTTTGCATACATGCACGAGACCTAAGGATGGAAATATGAACATCTAAAACCCCCAAATTTATCATTTGAAATAAAATTCGGTAGCATTATAAAAGGTTTCTCAGTAATCAAAAGGATCTATTAAGTTCCAGTGGAAGAAATGGATTTGAACGTTCATCTTCCACTTTAAAGTCACCAACAATTTTGTAAAGGCGTATCTCCTCCCTTACCACCCAAGCCTGGTAATAAGTGAAAAATGGGAACGTCAACAATTAAATGCATTATATTATTCTAATTCTCTCCTGATTTGCCTAACTGGATCAAAGAGATCAATTATAAATGCAGCCCTTCTACATCCTGTGGAAACAAGGAAAAAGATTTGAGAAAACCTTGTCTAGCCCGAGCACACTGGCCATTCAGAGACACCAGATAAGCGTTAATGATATTGGTGCATGTTCAGAATCTCAAGAAACCTGGCTCAGACCAGAAATTTACCATAAACCTCAAGTTCAGAAAGGTTTCATACATTCAAATTGTGCCAAGGGAAGTTTAGATTGGGTATTAGGAAAAGTTCCTTTACTGAAAGAGCGGTCAAACACTGGAAGGAGCTGCCCAGGGAGGTGGTGGAGTCACCATCCCTGGAGGTGCTCAAGAAGCGAGTGGATGTGGCACTTCAGGACACGGTGTAGTGGGTATGGTAGTGTTGGGTTAACAGTTGGACTTGATGATCTTAGAGGTCTCTTCCAACCTTAATGATTCTGTGATTCAAGGTAAAGCAAGGCAATTGGGCACAAAATTCTGAAAGGAGACATTTTAGCTGCTTTGGAGAGACTGAAGAACTACAGTGCACCTCTACAAGAGCTACTGGTGAAAATATACACCAGCAAATCTTACAGTCGGAAACAAAATCTGATGAAGATGAATAAAACAAATCCCCAACCAGACCAAAATGTTTAAAAATGAGATTACTCTGAATACTTGCATGAACAAAGCACAACCAGCTGTTATCTGGCCCAAACGTGAGCTTGCCAAGGAATACTAACATCAGACAGAACAGAAACAAGCCCCATCTTTTCTCACCACTCTGGTATTCTGCGTAAAATTCTTCAAAGTTCTCAAGGAGATCAGTGTTACACAGCATAGGTATTCCAGCAGGATATAATACAACGCTACAGTGCTGCAGCCCTGAAAATTCTTTCATCTGGAAGGCTTAACAGTATTTGAAATATATTATTCAGTTATATGTCAGAAAATCACAGGCCTTAATTAGAAATGCCATATGCTCCCTTTCAAAAGACACTAACGTCAAACTTCAAAATAGAACAGGGCAAAGGAGAGAGAATAAACAGCTTTAGAAATCTCTACTTTCTTTCCACTCTAAAGACTATTTACATATTCTAACCTGTGTAAGCATTTAGGTATAAATGAGGGGGGGAGAGGGGGGAAGAAGGGGAGGAAAAGAGGCTGTGGGAGGGATATTTAACTGTAGAAGTCCTTCTCTGAGGTATACCTCTATACATTTGTTTTTTCCACAATCTAGAACATCTATAAGCTAGCAGCATCAGCCAGAGCATGAATTTATCCACCCTTATTCTGCAGGGAATTACACAGATCCCTTCCCTTCAATGTACTGTGTACTTCTCCCCTCCTCTGTTGTTTGCCCTGAGCTCTCAGAGCCTGTCAACTGGACAAGAAACTCTGCGCCGCATTAGAACGGGAGGAGGATGGGAGACAGCTCATGGGAGCAAACCTGAGGGGCTGGGTTGTAAATGTGTGCACACACAAAGAGCCTTTAAGAATACTTGCATGGAATCATAGAATTGCTTCGGTTGGAAAAGACCTTCAGCCTGTCAGGCTTTTTGCTTTTCGTTTGTTTGTTTTGAATTGCAATGTGATTCACAAAATTCACAAAAAACCTCACTTTGTGGATGCCTCATGAATCAATTCCCTGAATTCAGAGACTCTGTTTAAAGCAAACCTGCTGAAGGATTGCAATTCCACAGCAAGCATTGTCCTGTATGGCATCAGCATGGAATCAAATACTCTGGGCTGGAAGAGACCTCTGGAAAGAGACCATCTAGTCCAACCTCCTACACCAAGCAGCTCCAGTTCGATAAGGTGACTCATGGACCTGAGTGAGAGGGTAGTCCTGCATAAAGTCTCCTTCAAGAAAAGAGACTGACTTGTTTTCAGCTCTTCGCCTGCTGAGATCTCCAGGTCCTTTTCTGCAAAAGTCGTTTTGTAGCTGGTTACGTGTCCAGCCTGTCTCATCACACAGGGCTGGTTCTATCACAGATACAGGACATTGCACTCGCCTTTGTTGAAGCTGCCTTGGAGGATCCTGTCAGTGCGTTTCCCCAGCCCGTTCAGGTCCCTCCAAGTAGGAGCCCTGCCCTCCAGCATTACTGACTACTCCTCACAATTTGCTGTTGTCCACAAACCTGCCGAGGGTGCACTCGGTCCCATCACGCAGATGATTAAAGATGACATTTAACAGCACTGATCCCAGTACTGACCCTGAAAGATACCACTACTTGCTGGCAGCCGGCTGGACTTTGTGTCACTGATGGATTCTTCCACCCCAGCAGTCCAGCCAACCTCCCAGCCACATTCTTTTTCACTTATCCAGTCCCTATCTCATTGATTTAATGAAAAGGACACTATGAGATGCAGTGTTGGGTTGGAGTCTCTGCTAAAATCAAGGTATACAACACCCACTGCCTCCCCCTTCTCTACTGCATCGGTCACTTTGTCACAGAAGGTAATGAGGTTGGTCATAATGATTTGTCCTTTCCAAATCTATGCTGGCTCTTCCCAATGACCGTGTTTGTCTTTCAAGTGTTCAGAAACACCTTTTGGGAGTATTTGCTCCATAACTGGTCCCATAGACTGAGGTCAGACTGACCTGGATCTTCCTTCTGGCCCAATGACATTTGCTTTTCTTCTTTTGGACATTTGCCATTCTCATGAGATAAATATGGAAGCCTGCACAGATATCACTCAGGCTGGGGGAGGATCTCTGGATAGCAGATTTTGCATACAGTCTGTTCTGATAGTACACCTATAGACAAACAAATGTGTACAAAATGGTCTCACAAAAATCTGTAGGGACATTCAAGAAGAAAGTAAAAAAGAATTAATCTAACTGAAACGAAGATCGGCAGCCTATTGGTTATGTATAATTTTGTGCCTACTCCATTTAAAAACACCCATTACATACATTATTCATTATATGAGCAGAAAATTCTGGATAGGGCACAAACATTTGTATTTTAGTGGCCCAGCACTAGCATTATGTCACAATACTCCATTGACTAAGCTTGATTACAACTTTCCCCTGCTCCTTTAAAAAACAAGACTCCAACTTGCAGAATTGAGACTGTCGGTATG